ATATTAAACTGTATGCAAAATTTGAGTATATATTATTATGTTGAATTTTTCAATCGAAGTTAATTAACTTAATTATTGCGAAGTGATAAAATTGATTAAATGATCGACAAATGATCTACAGATGATCGGCAAAATTGTGATAAAATCGGGATGTTCGCTATGCTATACAACACCATGTTTTATTCAAGATAATCAGCATTTGCAACTCAATCCTGCTAGATTGCAATAAAAATAATTTGACAACACAAACACAAGTAAGTCAGAAATTACCTACTACTTCTACTCCCATTATAATCCAATTAATTTTTCCATAGTTTAGATCAAAAATATAACTGTAATGTATATTCTAACTTTGAAAATGCTTTTCTTGAAGAAGAAATTACTGTAGATATAATAAAAGATTTATCAGATGATCAATTGCAAAAATTAGGAGTAGTAAAAATTGGGTGGCAGAAAAGTATTGAATGTTTGATAATAACAAATAATAATAAAATTTGATATTTTTCTATAAACAGAAGCTGTACATTTTATTTTTTCTAATAAATCAATTTTCTAAATAAAATTTTCTAAAACTAATTATTCTAAATATAAATTGATGTTTCAAAATATGATTTTGCCATTTGGGGTGTAATTTGACCACATGCAACTAATAATGCATATACAGGATCATTACAAGCTTTCATAAAATCACAATTATATCTAATCCATGATTTTATGGTTGAAAATGCAGTTTCAATGGGTTAAAGTCAGGGGAATAAGGTGAAAGAAAAACAACCTGACATCCTAATCCCTCTAACAAAGCTACTAATTCATTATCATGATGGATTTTTGCATTATCCATTACAATAACACTATTGTCTCCTGGATACAGATTCATTATTGGCACCTAAAATAGTAACAAATTTATCAATCACATTATAAAAATAACTCAAATTCTTGTAATTAGCATAATTATTACTTACAACTTGATCAAAAACAAAATCAACAAATTTTTTTTTGTCACAAGATCCTTCAAATATATCAATAGCAACAAATCCTTCCATTATAAGTGCAGGTAAAATGGTATATCATTTTCCTCATACGAAAACTACTTTTTTTTGAGCAGATGTATTTCTGAGGGAATATTCGACAAACTTCTTTCATCTTTAGCACTTTTATCAATAAAAATAAGCTGATTTTGGGTATAATATTCACCAATTGTAGCTAAATAATGTGCTCATACAATTTCATTCCTTTCTAGTGCTGCTTTTTGCAACTATATATAAAAAATTTTTTTTAGATAATTTACATCAATTGCTTAAAATATAATGTTTTACCTTTTTTTGAGTAATTTCTAAATATTGAAGCGATCTCCAAAGAGCTTTAGACATTCCATTTCATATATCAATTCGTCTAAGTACCAGTCTACTTTTTCTCTGACAAGACTTTTAAGTATAGTCATGTCCCTTCTACTAAATAGTTTTCTTCAACCAGGTACACCTTTGAAAGGATTTATAACACATGCCCAACAGATATATATCTTTTTTATTTTATTTACAACACCTGCATGAAGGTAAATTATACACCAGTATAAATCTTCACTAAATTCTTGAGGCATTTGTTGTAAGTTATACTTGTAATTGTTTGTAATTGTTTGTAATTTATGAAATCGGTACATGCCAGTTTATATGCTATCATCAAAATGAACGTGATCATGATAAAAAATCATGTTGAAGGTGATGCAACAGTGGCTTAGCATTACGTAGATCAAATAAGATTTACTACTTTATATGTGCATATGATAGTTATTTTTGTAATTCCAAAATCAATATTTTTATTTATATAGCAAAATATGGCCGATCACACTAATTCAAAAATGGCAATAATGAAAACCTCAATGATATTATATTTGATAGCTGGTATTTAAGAAGAAGAAACTGAAAATTCACAAAACATTTTATGAGATAATAAACGAAAAGCTAAAAGTAAAAACTCACAGCCTAATAAAAAAAGCCAAACAATACTAATATAGGTAGAAGCTGAAGATGTGTTACCATCTTAGTGGCTATTAATATGTTAAAATTTGAGAATGCGTACAATTATCAAAAAATTTTGATAAGGTTAGAATTTGATTTTGCGTAATTTTAATTGGATTTTAGGATGGTAAGATATTGGATTAGCTTATTATTAGTACATTTTTGGATTTTTTTTTTTTTGAAAAAAAAATCTTCATACATAATGTTTTATCAGAAATATGGTAAAAAACGATTGGCTAAACATAAATACGTTGCTCATATTATTAATGCAAAAAAAGTAGAATGTATATGTGGGAAAGATCAAATTAAACCGCAGATATGAAGTAGATAGATTATTTAAATAGACATGTAGCATGTTTGGAGACATTAGAAATTTCTATTGGGTAATATTTTAAGATTAGTAAGAATATTATTTTGATTATTTTGGAAGAGAAGAAATTATTGAAAAGATAATTGAAAAATCTTAATAAAATGTACTGATAAAACTAATAAAAGAGCTAATTAAAATTTTAAAAACTGACTTGAAGTTAGAGGATTAGAATGCGTATTTTGCAAAAATTTCAGGATTAGGAATTATAAATGCACACTGATCATAGTCAAAAGTGCTGTGTACAGCTAATAGTAAATTTTTTTCCTGGACCTTACCTAGTGTTTAGAATCGAATATATTCGAATATACTCGAGTATTCATTTAAATTTATAAAGTGTATTCGAATAATATTCGAATAAGTTAAATTTTCCTTTTATAGTAATGATTTACATAATTTTTAGCCTGAATTATGATTTTAACTCAGTTAAATTTAAGAATTTAATGCCCAATTAGAATTTTAACTATACTATATCTGGCTAAATGAATACTCGAATAACCACTATGCTTATTCGAATACTCAAATATACTCGAGTTATTCAAATAACTGTTACATGATTCCAAATACTAACCTTCACTGGTAAAAAAATGGTCTATCCTACACATATCCTACACATATCTTACATATATCGGGTACTCAAAATGTAGAAAATCATACACAAATAATACACATATCATATACATATCGGGTACTTATATATATAGTATACCTATCAGGTACCTGATATATGTATGATATATATATTAGTACCCGATATGTGTATGATATGTGTATTATTTGTGTATGATTTTCTACATTTTGAGTACCCAATATGTGTAAGATATGTGTAGGATAAATCATTTTTTTACCAGTGCTTACCTATATCAATATTGTTCAGGGTTCTAAGAGTGCGGCACTGCCAGATCAGCAAAAATTTTGGAAAAGTGCGTGGGGATATAATCTCACACAAGACTATGAACAAACATATTGACATCATAAGCTGCATCTGTGATTGGCGTTACGACAACATTTGCACATATAAATATGTATTAAATCTTCGTAATGATGAAGACAAGAATGGCATAACAGATTATTAATGTATAAATTTGGCCGTAAACATTTAAGTTTTTCTATAGTTGGCAAGTCATCCAAAAACAATTGGTACTTGAAAGCAGTGTGATGAGCTAAACTAAGACGCATCATAAATCAGATCATAATTTAAAGTTCTTCAAGTAAGATCAGATAATTCTGCAAGTTGAGACATGAACCTTAAATGATTGATTTGTTTAAGTAAATGTTATGAATTAACTTCTATTAGCAGATTATTATAAAGAAGAACATAATCATGGCTATAGGTACATTCAAATTGTGAAATATGAATTGCTGAATCAGCAATATATGCAGAATTGGCAAGCGAATCAGCTAAATCATTCCAATAGTTGACAGCATAAGCTTTGCTATGATCATAAGATGTTTTGAGAAAATGAGCTGTTCAATTGAAGACCAAAGCTCAAAGTTCTTAGTTTTGTAATAAAGGTGAGGATTCATATAAGAGCGTGAATAGGACCCTGAACAATACTGATACAACTTACATTTGAGGATATATTATTATACTCTGGAAGGAATGGTCATCCTAAGAAGGACCCCATCGCACATGTCACAACCCCTAAAGTGGTCAGTACAGCATAGCGGATATCTTTACTTTATCACAATTTTGTCGATCATTTGTTGATCATTTATTCAATTTTATCACTTCGTTATAATTACTTTGGTTGAAAATCCTACATNCATTTATTCAATTTTATCACTTCGTTATAATTACTTTGGTTGAAAATCCTACATAATAATAATTTTACAGACAATTTAACATTCATTTAAATTTACTGCATATTAAATTTATCAAAAAAAATTCTTTAAACAGTTAATAAAGTTTTACAAATTTTGTTTATGTATATTTTAATAATATTCATAAACATTTGCTCAATGATAACATTTTGATTACCTAAAATTCTACATAATTATTTTGGCTATTGATTCTTGAATACCTAAATAATATATTTTGAAAATTTCAAGTTTCGCCCATAAATCTGTGGCTTCGCCCGAAGCTCCAAAGTCAAATTAACAGATGATCGGCAAATATAGGCAAATATCAAATTATTGAAAATTTCAGTTTAAGGTTAACTTTAACAATATAATTTTTTTTATTTTTCATAAATTATACTACTAAAAAGACATTAGTATAGTTTGGCTAAGAATTTTATGGCTTTAACCATAGCTTCAAAATTAATGTGACATGATATCAATAAATGATCGGCAAAGTGATAAAAGCATATTCGCTATGCTTATCAGCACCATATAGGATACTAACATTAAGTGGGGTCGTATAGCACGTTTTGAAACCATCTTGGGCCAAGACCCAACCTCATGTGACCTTTTCTACTAACCATTCACCCACTGTAAAGTAGCCTCTAGCCAGTATATTTATTCCCAAGTTCCCTAGCAAATAGTACAGTGATGGCTTTCATGATGTCAAGTAACCATCTAGAACCCTTCCATACCACCATCTTAGGTACTAGGTCTCACTTAAAGGCCACTACAGCCCGCGATTACCTACTACCAATAGTATAGTTGTGAACCCCTAGTGGTAGTTGTGAAGGTTCTCCAACATAGACCATGACCACCAGGATAGGAAACTTCAAGGAATCTCCAAGATCACCTTTTATAGTAGCTACCATACCACCAAGGATCACCAACCAGGAGCTGAGTACAGTGGGGAATCAAACCCATACCTATGTCCCGATTAAAGTTGCTTGTCAAAATTAGTGAATTTCGTCATGTCGAAATTGTCGAAATTATTTTTTCATTTCATCATTTGCATTTTGGTTAATTTTAATAATAAAATAATTTTGTCATTTTGTCATGTCAAAATGTTGAAATTATTTTTACCATTTTGACAATGGCCTTTTCATTTTCAGCAAGCAACTTTAGGACCGATACCATTGATTCAGAAATGTACAGGTAGTCTAAACCTATTAGAAGGTAAACTACCATAAAGATATTGCAACCTGACTTTACCATCTATGGTACCCATCTAGCATGACAAACCCCATGCAGTAAAGCTTGCCATACCCTTAGTGGTATAGTTCTTACCAGTGACCACTAAGACAAGTCACCACCTGAACCTACCAATGACCTCTTAAGGAATGTGGAAAGGACATCAAGACTCTTTGTTGAAATATGTGGTCGTTATCGTGATCGGCAGAATTGAACCTGCAACCTCACCATATTCAGGCTTAATGAGGGTCTCAGTCACATACCACTGAGATAGGGTGATCAACCCTTACAACTCATATTTGAGTTTGCGTAGAGTTTATACATATTAAAATTTTTCAAAAGTTTCATATTACAGGGGTATTTTCAAAATTTCATTATCCTACATACCCACCCCTGTTTTTAACACAACCAGTGATTCGATTTTAATAAATTTTATATCATTAGATTCGTCTCGATAAGAGGATTCTAATGATAGTAAAATCGAATTCTTAGCTTTAATATTGACAGAGTTATGTCATAAAATGTATTTTTACTTCAGTACTTAAAATTTACTTGTGAGTTATATTAGTATTATTCGGGGTTCTGCGTGAATGGCACAAATCTAAGCTAAAAATAATGGCTTAAAAATCCATATATATTGAAACCTTCCCACAGAAACCTCAGGAGTACCTAAGCGTATAAGGGAGCCATCAGTGTAAAAAACATAATGAACATCAATAGGATGTGTCAGTTTAGTATATTATATAATACAGCCACACCACCATATACTGGTAAAAATCACTACTGGTAATAAATAGCAAATTTATTTTATTTAGAAATTTTAATAATAATGATAAAAAAAATCAGGAAATAAAAAGATAAAAAAAAAGTAATAAAAATAAAAAAGAAAAAAAATAAAGACGAAAGGAAAAAGGATCAAAGTAAAAATAAAATAAAAAATAAAAAAGAAAATGATTAAAGAAAATGAAAAAAAAAAAAAAAAAAAAAAAAAAAAAAAAAAAAAAAAAAAAAAAAAAAAAAAAAAAAAAAAAAAAAAAAAAAATAAAAGATTATTAGTAATTAAAACAAAAAAAATAATAAATAAAAAATAAAAATTAACAAAAATAATATATTCATTTATTTTATTTCAGCATAGCGGACATGCTTTATATCACTTTGCCCATCATTTGCCAATCATATTTTTCTTATTATTAAAAACAATTAAAAATTTTAAAAAAGTATCTAGTAAAGTAAATTTCTAACAAAATAAATCAAAAGTATGGCATCTTAATTATTACATAATAACTTAATTACATAATTATAATATAATTCTTTAATTTTATATACTATATTATTAATATGTGATAATTTGAAATTTTGGCTGATCACTGAACAAAAATTGATGGCCAAAGCTGAATATGCAAGGCCGAAACTTAAAACTTTGCATAAACATTCCTTTTATCATATATAATTTACAAAAAAAATAATACAGAGTTTTGGCCTATAATACAGATTTTTTGCTTATAGAGAATTTAGCTAATTATTTGTTATTAATGGACTTTTAATAAAAGAACAAAATCTTTTTGTTTAGATCTTGAAAATATAAGGGTAAATTATTTATTTTATTCTATTTTACCATATATTAAGTAAAAATTTTCCCTATTATCTATTAATAAATAACAAACAGCACTTGTATTATGTGATAAAATCATACAAATGATTGACAAATGATCAACAAAATTGTAATAAAATAGGGATGTCTGCTATACTTCCTATTTCAAAGAAAATCAGTAATCTAAAAAAAAATAGGAAATACTGAAACTTAAAAAAACTGAAAAATCTAATACCTATAAAAAATAAAATAAAAATAAAAATAAACAATAAAATAGAGTTAAAACAAATTCTAAAAATAAAAAGAAGTAAAATAAATAAAAAAATCTAAAAGCTTAAAAAGGATAAAAGTAAAAGAGAATTCTATATTAGATATATTAACTGTAATAGAATGCATTGAATGTACTATATATTTATATGTCTTTTATATTAAAAAAAAAAATAAAAATCAGATATAATAATCTTAAATGTCTAATAATATAAATTTTTTTGAATATTTAAAGTATTTGATAGGTTTATCAATAAAAACAAAAATAAAAAAAATAATAAAAAAAAATGAAATAAAGGAAAAAAACCTAAAAAAAATAATAAAAAAATTAGAAGCAAAAAAAAAATATAAATATAAAAGAAAAAGAAATAATTTATTTATCGCACGTGCGATGCAAATTTTTATGTTTATCATTGCCATTTTAAGGGGGATGGCGATGTATAAGCAGGTTGATCAACATAAATAATTTACAAAAAAGGAAAGTGGCGATGCATCGCACGTGCGATGAATAAATTTACTCAAAGAAAAAAAACAAAAAAATGTAATAATATCTGCATATTTTTAATATAAACTTTTAACTGTAAAATTGGAAAATTCTAAAAATCTAAAAGAAAATAATAAAGAAATTAAAAACAAAAAAAAAATAAAAATACAGATGGTGACCAAAATTATATAGACACTTTTCAAAATTAAAAAACTTATATATGTTAAATATAATAAAAATAAAATTTTAAGTTTAACATGTTTATTATGCCTTTCTTTATTGAATTTTATAAAAATTTAATAATTAATTTTATTTCCATTGCGAAAATAACTGCATCAATCCTTCGAGGCATACTATCAATTAATTTTCTATAATATTCAGGAGGGATGTCATTCCATGCATCTTTAACATACTCTATAAGCATACTAATACTAGATGGTGGTAGGAAACGATGACGAACTATCATCTTCATTTCAGCCCATAGATTTTCAATTGGATTGAGATCTGGTAACTGGGCCAAGCATCATAATCCCAGCATTTTTACGCGTGAACACAGCAACTTTTGCACAGTGTGGAACAGCATTATCCTCCTGAAAGATTCCATTACCCCGTGGAAAATATCTGTGTAAGGTAGGCACAACATAATCATTAATAACCTTAACATGTGTTTGTCCAGTAACTGAACCATTTAATCAAATAATTGGTCTAAGACTGTTCCAGGAAAAGCACCCTCATAACATTTTGCTAGGACTGTGCTTTACAGTAACAGCAATACAATCAGGATTTAACTCTTCTCCAGGTTCACGCTACACCATTCCTTGACAAACTTTTTGAAATTGTGTGAAGGTACTTTCGTCTGAAAAAAGAACTCTTCTCCATTGTCTTACCATCCAATTTTCATGTTTATAAGCCCACTTAAGATGAGCCTGACGATGTGCTTCTGTCATTGCAGGTTTATGACGAGGAACACAGGCTGTGAGTCCAACTTTTTTAAGATTGCGACGTATAGTACTATGAGAAATAGATTGCTTTATTTGAGCTGTCCAGACAGTTGCAAGTTTTGTGGAACAAAGTTGGCGATTTTCACTGTTTTCTTTAACAAAAGCCTTAAGTTTTTGCTGAGCTGGTAAGTCAAAGAGTGGTGGACGGCCACTTTGTTTTTTTGGTGTTAAAGAATGTGTTTCATGAAAACATTTAATTATTTTATTAACAGTTGATTTCTCACACCCCAGTTGTTTGGCAATTGTACGACATGAATGTCTACAATCGTAACCATATATGATTGCACCACGAGTTTTTAGGGTAAGGGCTTTATTTTTCTGAAAGTTCCAGAAAAAATGTGGCGCAGGGAATTGATTTATTGTGATCTTAAGTACAAAATCATTGTTTGTTTACATCATAATAACACGTGATGATCAGTATAATTTTGGCAAAACAAAGTGTCCACATAATTTTGGTCACCATCTGTATAAAAAAAAAAAAATAATAAAATGAAATACCTAATATCTGCATATTTTCAATATAAGACGAAACTAAAAAACTTAAAAAAAAAAGAAATTTTTAAATTCTGAATAACCAATCAGAATAGAAATTAGAAATAAAAAATATTTTTTTTTTATTAAAACTAATTTCATAAATATTTCATTAATTTTTTTTTTAAAAACTATTTTGCTAAATAGATATTTTACTAAAAATAGTTGTAAAATTTTCAATTTTCTTTTTTATATAAATTTTCTTTAAATAAACAAAAAAAAAAAATAATAAATATAAAAATAATTTAATTTTTACTATAATTTTATATAATATTATTGTGAGATTTATGAATTAAATGAATTTATTTCTAAATATTTTATAAAAAAGTTCTTTAGTCAAATGGTTATTTAAAATAGCTATTTGAAAAAGTACTTTTAATATAATTGGATTTAGTAAAATAGATTTAGTTTAAATAATTGATTTTAATTATAAATATAATTTATTAAATATTTTAAAATAGCAGTAAACAAACTATTTTTAATTAAAAATAAAAAATAAATATTTATTTTTACTTTGTAAATAATTATTTATAAATTAACACTTTAACCTCCATATACAGAATTCACAATAATTTCTACAGATTTTATTATTTATAATTAAAAAAAAAAAAATTTTGGTAATTTTTTCTTTCTTTTCTTTTTTTTTTTCAGTAAATGCAAAGGTAAAAAGTAAAAAAAAAAATAAAATAAAATAAAAGAAAAACAAGGGAAAAAAGGGAAAATTTACAAAAAAGAAAAAAAAACAGTTGATTAAAAAAAAAAATGAAAAAAAATAAATGTAACATTCAATAAAAAAAGAGTTCAATTTTGGGATCCATTTTCATAAATCCATTTATGTGTTTAAAGATAAAATAATCTAAAAAAAAATGATATATGCGTTATGAATAATATTTTCCAATGTCCTTCGTGAAAAGTTTGTAAAAAATATAAAAGAACCAGGAGTTACAAAATATTTGTATATTTGTATTCAAGAAACAGGTAATTAGAAAGTATAAAAAAAAAATGATAATAAAATAAAATAAAATTAAATTGATAATTAATAAATAATTATTATGCCAACTGTGGATCAAAAGAAAAAGAATTTCTTCTTTCCGGAGCAAAGAAGGCATCCCTCAAAGAATCCCTTCTTTCAGGAGTAAAGAAAGAATCTCTTCTTTCCAAATTAATACGGTCAGCATGACCAAAAGTAGTAGAATCTCTACCTCCCAAACTGAAAGTAGAATCCCGTCTTTCCAAACTAAAAGAATCTCTACGATCAGTTAAACTGTAAGTACTATCTCGTCTATCCAAACTGAAAGTGGAATCCCTGCGATCACTGAGACTATAGGTTGAGCCTCGTCTTTCTCCATTAAAGCTATTAAGACTCGTATGACTTCCATTATTATTGCTTCTTACTCCCAATGGGTTCTTTGAGAAACTCAACCGAATTCCTCCTTTGACCGAATTGCTAAGTAGATTACCATAGAGTTCGTTCATTGCCTGAGTGGCATAATGAACATCCTCAAATTCAACAAAACACATTGGCCCATTTTGTTTCGTACGAAAACACATACGTTTGTAACCGGGGCAACATGAAAACATATTTTTTAGTTCTTCTTCGGAGGTGTTCATTGGTAAATTACCGACATAGAGAGTATTACATGGCGGATTTTGGTCAGCCGGATTAGGAGGACGAAAACCAGGAGAAGGAATTGATGGAGATGAAGAAACGACCGATGGTGAAATAGTGGTATTGATAGAAAGAGCAGACATTGCATGGGGCAACTCTTCACCAACAAGTAAAGCAGTATTAAAACCATTTGACTGGTTCTTTGCAGTTTTAGAAACTATTTCGACAGGATTTGATTTTGATGAAAGAGAGTAACCATTCAAATCTTCATCAAAAATGCCTTTCCCATATCTGACACCGTTAAGAGGACGTGAAGGTGCACCAACCAAACCACCAATAGCACCATTAGTTGCATCAAAAGAGCCACGGGTAGAAGAGAAAGGAGTTTGATCAAAAACAGGAGTAGTAGGAGTTGTGGGAGTATAAACGCTGACGTCTGAATAAAAATCATACCCATAATCTTGAGGAGACAATAAATCACTTGGAAGCGGTGGGGCTGCAAAAGGAGGCACAGAATGAAAAGCATCATAGGTAGAAGTGGTATTAATGGTGTTTGGAGTTGAAAAGCGCTTAGTAGGAGGAAGTAGAGAGAATGGAGTGTTTTGTTCATTCGAAAGGCCACGTTTGGTATGCAAGTTTTTCTTCGCCATTTCAGCTTTGAGAACGGAACCTTTTTCAGCATCGACTTTTCTTCCACTAAGAATGTCTCGAGCTTCAAGTGCTTCAAGTTTAGTACGAAACTTTGCGAAGCCGATCTGAGACAGCAAAACAAAGGATTTAAAATGAGTAATTTGCACAAATATACTGATAAAAGTTTCGTTTTAATTAATCCTTAAAACTTGGGAATGGGTTTCTATAATATAGATAATCATAAAATGAAAAACAAATAATAGTGATAAAATAAATTACATACGATTTGCTTTCTTGCATTATTTACATTCCCGTTAATTGTTCCATTTCCAATAGAGCTACCATTGGCAGATGCATCATCATCCGAAGAATCTTTTTGAGGAATCTTTAAGGTTGCAGCTTCAAACCCTGGTGAAAAGATGAACATATTTTGAAACTCACGTTCTTGCATATCATCAGGAAACCCGACAACAAAAATCGTTGATATTTCTTCGTTAATCATGATTAAGAGTTATGGAAATTGAAATTATACAATAATTTTATGTACAAGAAGCCGGTAAATGCAAAAGAGATCGAAGCAAGCCGGGAATAATAATTACAATATGTAAAATAGGAAGTTGATAGCCGATATTTGAAGGCAAACAACTTTTTCTACTAAAATGCCGAAAATGATATTAATAGAATATGGAATTATTATTATTATTCTTTTTTTTTTAGGGGAGGGGGAAGAGGAGTTTTTATGTGTGAATGTTACAATGCTACGAATTATATAACAATTAGGAATTGATATTTGGTAAGGTGACCTAATAATATAATAGGGAATAAAATGAAATGAACTAGTATGAAAGAAAGTAAAAAATGCAGAAGATTACGGAACAAATGTAAAGTGGAAAAGGAACTATGGTTTATTTTTTAGTATGCTTTAGTGCAATATGGTTTTAATTTTTTTTTTTTTTAAAAGATGCTAATTCTATTGTTTGAAATTAAGTTTTTGCTTGAATTATAATGAAGTTTAGGTTGTTGCTATGTACAATAAGGCATATATGCAAATATGAAATTGTGTTGCGGAGTGAGAGATGAGTTGGAAGGTAGCGAAGAGATCAATACACTTCGCTAGTGCTGACAACTAAAAGAATTTAATTATATATTTGTTAATATGACGCAACGTTTTGTAAAAATCCGAGCCTCATTTGCAAACACAAGTTTACACTGATCACAACCACAGCGAATAAAACACAAAAAACAATAATGAATTAATGAAAATTACCTGGTGAAACACTGTAAAGACGCGAATAGTTAAAAGACCAATGAAGTGATGAGCGAACAAAAAATGCCAGAACTAGAGAGCAAAGAGTTCGCGGCCTTTTTATTGCAAACACGGGCAGGTATATGACCAGTTATACAATGTTTGAAAAATAATACACAGTATAGTACAAATTCAAAAAAAAGGGGGGTTTGTCTGGGGGTTGGATAAAAAGTTGACTGTTTTATATCGTTTTATAATCAGCCAGAATAATAATTTTTCAATGATCTTTAGATCAATACTTGCTTTGCATTGTCATAAATTGCATTGACTGGTCAATTTTTAGGGTCTTTTTAGTTTAAATAATTCCTTATAATCACCTACCATTTTATTTTTTATCACAAAATAGTAAATTATAATAATTACAATTAATTGTAAGTGGGGAAAAAAGGATGGGGAAAAAGATGCGGGGTAAAATTGATAACAACCATTATCATGACGAAAACAATTTGAAATCCAATTTGCCGAAATTAATTTTTATGTGCCTTGAGAAACGAAAATATCACGACAAGAAAAAAAAAATAAGTTTTAGTACAAGGATAATCTTCAACATATTCGTCTAGTGATTCTAAAACGCCCATTTTTTTTTTTTTTTTTTTTTTTTTTTTAAAAAAAAAAAAAAAATAATTTTTAATTCAATTTGCGATATAATAACTTTCGGCTCTTGTTCTCAAAATTACATAAAGTTATCTAACAGAAGATGCAATTATGTACGCTTGTAACTTGCTAAATAAATTATTCTGATTCATTAAAAATTAAAATAAATCTGTTAGGTAAAAATAGTTGATGATGATGATAAGATATATCCGATTAAAGTGTATAGACATTGATGCCTTTATTGGGTATATTTAAAAAAACTAGTAACACAAGCATAAAATAATAAAATGATTTTTAGACAACAAAGTTAAATAAATATGAAAAAATAATGAGAGTATTGTCACTAAAGATTCAAATACAACACCTAATGGTCTAATATAAGTTTTAACATAGCCTGAAGATAATACATTAAAAAGTTGTCATTATTCCTCATCGCTGGTTTAGTATTGTTACACTACTCGGGACAATTTTTCTTGATGATTTGAAAATATTACGTTTTACACAAAATGTAGTACAACGGTTAATACGCGCCCTAAGTAAATCTTTCCAATTTCGGAAATATGAATCTTGATACAACATATTCTAGCTCGTCATGTCGTACAATTCATTCTTGTTGCGTATCCATTATTTACGTCAATGTCTCAACTTTATATGCTCGTCGTTTGGAGAAAAAAAAAAGCCACAAACAGAAATGAATGAACATCCGCATTTAGTTACCAAAAACCGTAAGTACAACAATAGCAAACTTGTTGCAATTGAGACAAAATCTGCAATCTGTGGTATTAGCAGTTTGCTTGAAGACATTTTTCAAGCAAGATAAGAACAGGTTATTTTTCTCTTCCGGCTGTGCACAATCGATGTTTAAAAAAGGATAGAAAACAAAAAAAGTTTGGTCATAATATTTCCATATTTGAGATAACAAGAATAATCATTGGATGATAAATATATTGTCTTGAAATATATTATATTGTTTGAGTTATTTTTAGTTCTAGCAAAATTAATTTGGATAATTAAAAAAGGTTTTTTTCTCCATATATTTATTACGAGATTCATCATTCATGTGAGCGGTACTTTCTAAAAAATGATAACGGGTAATTTTCTGGTCATTTTGTTTTATTTATTCACAAAAAAAAAATGTATTACATTATAAGTTTTTATCAACTGAATTAGCCACAGGATACAAGCCATTGTTATCCTTGCACAATATACGGAAAATTTAAAAATAATCAAAAATACCTTTTTAAATAATATAAAGTACCTCTTTAGTATCTTGAAGGAGATTTAAAAAACAGATATATAAAACAGAATAATGGTTATTAGTAAATTTTACGTCTTAATTTAAATTTTGCATTACTAAATATATATAAAGCTAAGAATAAATATTTAATTTAAAAAAGTATGACTCTTTATGAACTATTAATTAGGATTAAGATAAAATTACATAATACTACAAACCAATTTTAATGTGATATTTTCAATGCAATATTCAAAAAGTAAAGAATATAATACAAAAATACCATACATCCAAAAATAAAAATTATATTTAAAGATTAAGAATGCAATTTACTAAAATAAATCAAAAAAATAAAATTATACAATTTTAATAAAATAATTATTAAGTACAAATTAAACTAAATTTATTTAAACTAATAGATAATAAAGTCAATTTAATTTAATTTAAAAATTTTTAAAATTATTTTTTTTTTCTGCATTTTTATTATTTAAATAAATTTTTAATATTTTTTTAGATTGATAAATGTAATTTATAATATTTTATAGCTTATTTATACATTTTAAAATATTTTTTAAATATTAAATTCTTTTAATTTTTACATCTATATTGCATTTCATAAATGAATTACATATTAAATTAAAATAAATTTTTTTGAAAAAAAATAAATATTAATTTGATGATTTTGATGATTTATAAAAAAAACCTGATATAAAATATAAAAATTAATATTTTATAAAATACAAAACTTTACAAATTAAATTTTTATTAATAATAATAACATTGCTAATAGTAATTATTACTATTAATTATTATTAAAAATTTTTTTTTAAATTGTCAGTTTTTTTTTAATAATTTTTTTTTAAACAAAAAATTTAAAATAACAAAAAAAATTTTATTATTTTATTCAAAATAATTTAATGTAATAATATTTTATTTGTAAACTAAATACTAAAAGTTATATATTTATAATAAATAATTTATTAATTTAAAAATATGTCTTACTATTAATAAGATTACAGTCAATCCTTGTTATAACGAACCCTAGGGTCCAGACTTCAACTTCGCTATAAGGTTATAGTGAAGATTTTAAGAGATTTAATTGGTTAATTCGTTATAGCGAGGGGAAATTTATTATAGTTGTCTGAAAAATTCACTATATCAAGAGTTCACTATATCAAGGTTTGACTATATATTTATTTTTTGATTATAATTAATCTTTACCTAGGGTGATTTAGGCACTCATTTAGCAATTTTTTATCTAAAGTGATTAACTTTATATATTTTTATATAATTTACCTGGTAATATCACCTCATTTAAGTTTTATTGGTTAATTAATATGCCAATCATTTTTTATGTTTATTTATTTTTTTAAATGTACTTAAATAATCTTTTTTTTTAAGTCCTTTCACTTTTTTACATAGCACTCAAAGTATATTTTCTTCATTTTGCTTCTTGCATTTTGTTTTTTACTAACTTTATTTCATTTTTTTAGATCCTTTAATTTTCTTGGTTTTGCAATTAAGATATATATATCCAATACTATATGGCCATTTCTTATTTTTATTTTATTCTTATATTACATTTTATATTTCACACTTTTTAGTTTTTTCAATTCTTTTCTGCAACTACTAAAGTATATTTTTATTTTGTTTATTTATTACATGTAATTTCTATTTTCTATTAACTTTATTTCTTTGTTTATTTTATAGATTTAGTTTTTATTTAGACCTCTGTTTATTTCATTTTCATTCTTATTCTATTTTTTGTTCTCATTTTATCTCTTTATTTCTTTTGCTTTTTTTATTCTTTCCTTTCTTTATTTTTTCTATTATTTTTTATTTTTTCTTCATTCCTTTCATTTTTTTTGTTCTGCTTTTGTTTTTTTTATTATTTTACACTACTCTTCATTTTTTTCACTTTTATTCTATTTCCACTTCATCTTTTTTATTCTTTTATATTATCCTTCATTTTTGTCATTTTTTTTCCATTTTCATTTTATCTTTTTTATTTTTTTATACTATCCTTTATTATTTTCATTTCCATTTCATCTTTTTCATTTCTTTACACTAAGTCCTTTTATCCCTTCATTCTTTTCATTTTTTTTTCATTTCCACTTGATTTTTTTCATTTTTTTCATTTCTTTTACTTCTCCTTTACTCCAATTTATTTTTCCTTCAATTTCTTTTTGTTTCTTTTATTACCTTTCACTCTTCCTATTTCTATCTTTCATTTACCTTCATTTTTTTTTCCTTTTTTATTTACATATTCTTTTTCTTTATCATTGTGACTCATTTTTTTATTATTCCTATCAAAAAATTTAGTATTTTGAATAATATGAGTTTATTTTTTTCAATCAATGATATATGTAATCTATTAAAAATTAATAAATTACTATAAACTTTTAGTGCAAAAATATAAAAAATTTTAAAAAATTTACAGAGGATTTATATGCAAATTACGAAATTAAAAATATTAAAATTTATATCAATCAAATTTAATAAATTTAATTAATTAATTGTGAGTAAAATCAACTAGATAAAATCATTCTAAATGATTTTCACACAGAGAAAAAGTTGGTTATTTTTAATACTGATTTAATAATTAATAAAAAATAGTAAAAAAAAAGTAAAAAAAATAAAAAAAATAAAACAAAAATAAAAAGGAATGAAAAAATAAAACAAAAATAAAGATAAGAAAGTATTAATATATAATGTGTTATTCAACTTTAATATGTAACTTAACACATTATGCACGTAATTCAATGTTAACGCATATATATATAATTATATATATATATTTTAATTAAATTATATTTATTTTTGAGTCCCGTGATCACCAGACATTGAAAATAGGGCCTTTATGGGTAAGATGTCTCGTTACTAAACAAAGTTTACCTACGGAGTTAAATGATCACTCGACAGTGCATATGTGAGGTACTACTGGTATAACGAGTGGTTTGTAATTTAATTATATTAGAGTAGTAGTTATTAGGAAATTTTACTTTGTATATATTTTCTTTATTTTTTTACTTTAATAAAATTTCAAATGCGCTGCAGAAAAAAAAAAAAAAATTATATTTATTTTTACTTACCTTAAAAATTGAACCAGTTATCTCAACTTACAATATGTTATATCTCACGATCTAACTACTATATACATTTATTTAAATTAATATTAAGCATTACATGTTTTATATAATAATGTATCATATATATTACATAATAGTAGCTTTTTTTAATAAAGCTTGATTTTTTTTGCTCTTTTTCTTTTGTTTCTTATTACCCTTTCGTTTTCCTTTTTCTTTCATTTTTCTCTTTCCTTTTACTTTCCTCTTCCTCTTCATTTTTCCTTTTTCTTTTATTCTCTTCTTCTCTTTTAATCGTTTTTTATTATTCTTTTATTCTTCCTTTTCTTTTTATTTTTCCATAACCCTTTCATTCTTCCTGTAAATGAGCAATAAAACTTTATTAAATAAAACACTAAAACTATTATACAAAATATCAAAAAGTATAATTTTATCAAGGGAAAAGCTAACAAATAACTTTATGAAGAAATTTGTAGCAAGTTACAATAGGTTTTTAATAAAAATATATGCTTTTTACAGATCTATTTACAGAAAATGTCAATAATTTGATAAATTCTGTAATATAAGATTATTTATTCTGGAAATATAAGCCTTTTACAGAAAAAAATTGAAATATAAAAAATAGTTTAACTTTTTTTATCAAACTTTTGGTAAGTTTTGCAACAAAATGGTACAAAACTTTATTTTTTAATTTTTTTTTAAAAAATATTTACTAATATTTCTTTTTTATTTTTGTAGGTCTACAAGTTTTCAAGTAAATAAAATGGTGAGTTTCACAATAAAATGTTATGAAACTTTATTTTTTTATTTTTAAAGAAATGATGTTAATATTTCTTTCTTTCTCTTTTTATATAAGTATCAAACTTTAGAATAGAATGGTAAATTTTACAATAGATGTTGTAAAACTTTATTTTTTTAATTTTTTATTTAAGAAAGTTCTAACTGAACATTTCTTTTTTTTTTGCAAGTTCAACTGACTTTTAGAACTTGAAATTTTGGAAAACAGTAAGTTTTATACATTTCATTATGAAATTTCCATTTTTTTTAATTTTTCTTTAAGAAACATTCTAGTTGAATGTTTCTCTTTTTTTTTTGCAAATTTAGCTGATCTCCAGAACTTGGAATTTTGAAAAATAGTAAGTTTCATACATTTTATTATAAAACTTTTATTTTTTTGTTTTATTTTTAAGAAACATTCTAATTGAATGTTTTTCTTTTTTTGTAAAAAAGGGAAATGAATTATACAGTTAATTCACTTTCATTATAGTTACATTCTATTATATAGTCACACCAGTTGGATATTCAAAACATTTTATCATTGAAATTTATTCTATATAATTACAATTTATCTATAGTTACTATTACAGAACCCCAAACAATACTGATACAACTCACATTATTTGAAGATCTAACAGTCATACTTTATTAATTATTATAAGCACTCAAAACATATACAAGAAATAACAAACATAAGAAAAAACAAAAATGAAATAGTCGCATAAAAAAGTACATATAGAGAAGAAACTAAACTATAAACTCCTAATTTGTATAACCCAACTTTAAACCACAAATAGCAAAATTTCAGGTCAACTACCCAAGTCTAAACAATTTCAACCTACGACAACAAAGATTAAAATACAAGTTCAGACAAGAACTATTCAACTACTCTGATGACCTCAGCAAATAATAAAATTCTGGAAAGGCTGAGATCGCAAATTTGTAGCGAGAAAGGAAGCACATCGGCTGAGGAAGAGTAACGCATATTAACTATAAAAAGAAATTTAATAGAAAACGACACTATATAAATACAATGCAGAAAACTCAATATTCTGTGAGTAAATACAAGAAGTCTAGCATATATTTCAAATAAACACGCAAAGCGAATTATTTGATCATAAATGGAAGGATGAAGACAATACAGTCTATCATAAAATTTAAAATCTGCAGACAAAAAAGAAGGAGGAACTAAGACCGCTCCAAAATCCAATAATCGTATAAAAAGCTTCCAAAATGACTAACGTCTATAAGTGACCCTTAAGTTGAAGAATGAGGGTGGAGGCAAAGGAGCAGGAAGTTGTTTTAAAGAGATATCAGTCAAATCCAAATTAAAGGAAGGAGGCCATATATAAAGCGGAATAAAGGAAAAACAAACTGAACAGAAAAATAACTCTAACTATTCAGTTTCATAATACGTTAAGTTTCATTATCAAAAGACAGGAAAGAGGATTCATCATCAGAATCTGAGAATTCATCATCTGAGTCAGATACATACATCAAACTCATATCATCATAGGAAACTAAAACAGGAGAGGAAGAACAAAAAAAAGTTGATAGAACTGGAAGAAGACTACATGCAGTATACATGATACCCAAAAATTAAGCTATTATAGGTCATCCTCAATTAAATCATTTTCATCAACATTAATTAATTGCCAGAGAAATAATATCACCAAAAGAAATATTTAAAGAACCTATATTTTTAAAGGAACTATCCAAATGATCTACATCATGGGAATTCAGATCGGCAGAAAGGGAACTCTCAAATGAGTCATCAATAAAAATATCTGTAGATAAACTGATTAGTGTAACAGAATAATCAAAGGTCGATCTAAGGTTGCTTGCCGAAACCTAGGGGTTTAGGCAAGATGACGTTTCGCCAAAAAGCGAAATTCTGCTGAAACTATATTAAAGTTATATTAAAAAACTGGTGAAATTTTAAAGAAAGGCGAAACTGCCAAAACTTATTATAAATGCCGAAATTGCTGAAACTCTGCTGAAACTATAATAAATCTATAGTAAAATTTTAACGAAACTAATTGTAGGATTTTGAAGAGATTTAAACAAGCAACCTTAAAGTAAACTGAATATCCTTTTTTCTGCATATACATCAGAAATAAATTTCTGAGTAGGTAATGATAAAGTATTTCAAAAAGGAGTGTTAATAAAAGGCTCATAATGAGCTCTATGAAATAAAAGATATTTTCTAACATAAGGAAGGTCGCGAGAATATTGAACTTGAAGAGAAATGAGCTGGAGGATAAGGCAAGGGTCATTCTCGTCATCGTCAGAATCTTCTTCGTGTAAACCTTTATCAAGATGCATAATCACTCAATATTATCAAATAACATAATATTAAACAAAAGTAAATAAAAAGGGAAAAATTATCTTAGGTAACTGCCAAGAAACCCTATAGAGATGAAGAAAATATTTAAATTTGTTTTAATTATTTAACCCCAGAAGATAGAGGAACAGAGAAAAAGTTACGAAGATCCTCTACTAAGGTTACTTATCGAAACTAGAGGGTTTCAGCAGAATGGCATATGTGAAACTGCCAAAACTAGTTTTGTGAAATCATCAAAAAATGCCGAAACTGCGAAACCTATTAAAATCGTGAAACTGCCGTAACTTGCTGAAACTGTTTTGGCGTTTCAGCAATACTTTCTATATGATTTAATTAGAATTCCAGCATTTAAATAATTTATAAGAATAAAGACAATATGATTTTTTGTATGTAAATATTTATTTGTCCGAGATTCGACTATTTTTTAATCAGAATAGGATTCTAATTCCACAAGACATAGATGATGTCTTTAATGCTACCACACAAAATCTTGATGAAATTATTCGTCAAGCTGCTCTAATGCAAGAAATTGGAGTAGACCAACTAAATCAGATAGAAGGATTGCAGACACTACTTGGAGAATCTTTAGATCGTACAAATACTCTTAATCAAGACTTAATAAGAGTATGTGATGATTTTACATATGAGAGAAATGCTTGTAGGCACTGGGAAACTATTGCTCAACAGAATCAAGCACGTATTGCAGGAATACAAATAGCCAATTTAGATATACATTTTCTGAATAGACGCAAAGATGCTCAATTAGCAAACTAACAGAATCAGCTGGTAAATCAGCAGAATCAGATAGCAAACCAACAGAACCGGATAGCTGAGCATAGAAGGAATGCACACAGGCTGATGTTACGCTATAATGCTGATATAGAGTGCTGGAGAAGAAGACATGCAGGTTGTATACGTCAGGCGCGAAACTGGCAAAGACAATATAGGATTTCACAAATCCAGGTGCAAGCACAGGTCCAGAATATTTTAATTTTGCAACAACAAATATTGGCATTACAAAACAATCCCCAAACATGGCTACAATACAAGATGTCATGCATACTATATCACCAGGTCTTGCACAGTTATCATTTTATGATGGACAAGAGCCACCAGACTCTTATTACCAAAAGCTTAGAGCTGTTAATGAGATGGCTCATCCACTAGCTTTTGCTGGTTTTAATGCTGCTATGAGGTGCAATGTCATGAAAAATAAAATGTCTGGTAGATTTATTCCTGTTCCTGTAAATAATCCATATAATGGTAATGCACCTATCAATACAGAACCAGAATTTCTAAACTGGTTACAAGGAAAATATAGAGATGTGATGATTGGTACAAATTAAGGTGCTATAATAGCTAGGGATTCGCAATTTGATTTGATATTTGATATTTGATTTGAATTTGACAAATCAAATTCAAATTCAAATTTATGTTTATTTGATTTAATCAAATTCAAATAATGAGTTTATTTGATTTGATTTGACTTATCAAATATTTCAAATATTTGATCTGATTTGATTGATTTGAATTTAGTTACACATATGACATATTATCGATAAATGTAAATAAATAAAGATCATCATTTTTTTTTAATTATTGTATCGAAAAAAATCTTTACTTTAATAAACTTTAAATATACTTGTGAAAGCATTTTGCATTATCATTTTAAATATGTCGTTAGAAATGGTAATTTTTAAATTTATATTTATATTATTTTAAAATAAATTATATTAATTAAATATAAATTTTGTTATTATAATTTAATATAGCGTATAGATACAGAAACTTCCGAAAAATCTAAATCTAATATTTGGAAGTATTTCACTAAAGAAAGAGGGCAAGACAATAAAATTACTGCAAAATGCAATTATTGTAATGCCAAATATGTTGTTGTTAAAGGTGCAACAACAAATCTTTGGACACATATTAAAAAAATACACGTGTCTCTTCTTGGTTTATCAACTACTCAACATACATTAGAACAATTTGGTTTATCGATAAATAGTAACAGTGAAATTTTTACAGGGGTAATTAATTAATAATTATATAACAGATAACTGATAATTATATTTAGTAAAAATAATTAAATACAACTTTTTTAATATAGGCTAGTAAAGAAGAAAATCTACGAAAATGGTTAACAAATTGGATTATTCTTGAAGATCTTCCATTTACAATTGTTGAGGGATGGCTTAAATGGATTCTTAAAAAAGTTACTGGTGGATTTCATCTTGTATCGGCAGATACAATTAGACGTGATATTATACAATATCATATAGATATACGAATAACTATTCAAAAAATTTTAAAGAAAACTTTAGGAAAATTATCATTATCATTAGATATTTGGACTTCAACTGTTGTCAAATCATATATGGAAATACTGTACATTTATTGATAATTCTTGGCACCTTCAACAAATAACTCTTGATTTTATTGAATTAAAAGGTTCTCATACTGGAAAAAATATTGCAGAAGAGCTAATTACGGTATTAAATTTATATGATATTTCAAAAAAGGTAAAGTAGTTAATAACTATAATATTATTTTTATTGTAACTAAAATAATAATGTTTAATTTTTTGTAGATTAATAGCATTACTGCTAGATGAGAAAGACCAACAAGGGAGGGAAGTAATTCTATCCACTAAAGAAGAATAGTCACAATTGGCATTATCACCCGCTTCTTTGATTTTTTGGGTAAGGTGGTGAAGGTAAGATGTTAAAATATGGTGTAATTTAACACGACATTTTTTGCATAAAAATAAATGCATAAAATCTTCTAAGTGGTCTTCACAAGAACAACAAGTTAGAATTTCCACGTATAAATCAAGTCGTGTCCTTTTCAATGATTCCAAAGTGGGTAGGTCTTCCAGAAAAAGTTGAAATTTTAATGTGTGATATCTAGAGATATTCTCCTTGGTGAAAGAATTATCAAATTTAGGTTGGAACATTAATGTATGCCAAGTAAGAGTCCAATCAACCATATATTGAGATGAGTCCGTTAAGAGAAAAATAAAACGGAAGTGAGAAAGAGCTAAAAGGTCTTTCATATACAACATTTGATGATATTGTTTGAATAGATGTCTTGGGTTGGATTCACAGACCACGTCATCATAGATCATAATATAATCATGAACCGCGGCGAGATCGAGACGGGAGATGAGAACAGCGTCGTCAGATGTATGGGCAGTATTGGCAAGAGAATCAGCAAAGTCATTCCAATAAAAATTAGAGTGAGCTTTAACTTTGAAAGGCAAAACCGAAAGTTGTTTATCCACAATCAGTTGTTGAATGATAGCCCAAAGTTCAAAATTGGTAGTCTTATAATAAAAACGAGAATTTGAATAATCAGATAAGAAACAATGTTTCAAACTCTCGATGGAAGACTGTGAATCTGTATAAATATGAACAACAGAGTTGGCAGGAGAGGCTGATAAAACAGCATAAATAGCAGCAGCTTCGGCTCGAGAAGAGGAAAGCCAATCGTGAATAATACCCCGCTTATAAGTGGCAATAGAATTAAGAAAACCAGAATCTTTGACAATTTGAACCCAGCCCCATTCCATAGAAACATCACTAGTTCCTAAATTAATAAGAGAACCATCAGTGTAAAAGGTATAATGTGAATCTGGAGAAAACATGACCGATGATGATGCGGCAACCTCGCCAGCTGTAATTAAATGTGTAGTAGGTGAAGCTATGTCAACAGTATTAAAGGAAATATTGGGAATATTAGTAGCTAACACTGAGCAAACTGAAGGATTACAAGTTAAAGTAACAAAATCCATGATTTCCGCCCATGACACCGTAGCAGTCAAGCTGGATGTGTGACTCATAATGGATGATTTCTTCATAGATAAAATCTATGAGTGATGAAGAGAGGCCGAATAGGAGCAAGACACAGAGCTAGTAGCAACAAATTTCTTTGAGTAGGAAGATTTGTTGATATTCAAGTTGCAGCCAGGACAAGGTTGTAGAGTTATCAAGTCGCTCAGACGAGATAAGTAGTCTGAAGTCCAATGTACAATAGTACAGGTGGAATGCTTGGGTTGGATCTGAATCTGTTTACCGAATATAGGGAAGCCATCATCATTCATCGTGACAATCCAATTCTTTTTATAACCAGAAGGAAAAGTACAAGGAGCAAGTTCTTTTGCAATTTGGCTCACAGGTCGTTGTTTAGTCATAAATTGATCTTTCAATAAACCAGGTTTATCTGGAATCGTGACATTAGCAGAAAGATTTTTGTACCAATTGGGAAGACGGGCATTATCACGCTTTTGAATAGAGTTAGCATATATGACAGACCAAGAGAGTAAATATGTTCCCTGGGGTGTCAAAAGTTGCGAAAGGTAAAAAAGGCTACGTTTTCGAAGTCTTGTTAAATTGGCCTTAAATACATCCAAGGAAAGACATTGATAAATAGGAGTATGGCCATTAGGATAGGTTAAATCAGGCACAGGCGATAAATTAGTACGCGACAGACGGAAGGGAGTTGAGAGCAATGAAGCTAAAGTATTAGCGATGTAATCTTGTTTAAAAATTATAAGAGAAGACCAACAAGACCAATCCAAAACCATCAAAGGAGAAATAGGAATTAAACAATAAATCTCAACCTATAATTAAAAAGTGACTTCATAAAAACAGAAGAAGAATTTGCTAATAAAAATAAGTTAGTAAAATGACTTTGTTGTTAAAACGAAAATAAATTGATCAAACCCAAAGCTTGTGTTAAATATAACACCACATTAGGAACAGAACGTGATAATTTGGCCTTGTGTTTAACTAAGGCACGAATTGAAGAAGTAATAGTAGAACATTCAACCTCAGATAAATGCGTAACTTGCATTCGATAATCCAATTTTGGGATTAAAACAGTATTATAAAGATATACCACTTGTTGAACAGTCAATTTTGCCGGGCGGAGAATTGCAGAGAAAGAATTACATTCTCACTTAAATTGTTGTCGAATAAAATTCCTAGAGCCATTAATATTAAACCAAACGCCCAAGAAACAGAAAGATGAGGACATAAGAATAGGAGTAACAGTAATATTGGTTGTAGTGTTGAGTGATGAAGTCATCAAATTAAAGGCTATAGGAGATAAATCGCGAGAAGTAGCAATTGCATTGGTGGCTAAAACATATTTATCATGGTTAGCTGAAGTGTTGTTCAAACAATAAAATTCTTCAGTAATAGACAACATATGTTCTATTCCTTCTTTAGAAGAAGAAATCAGAGTAGAATCATCCATAAACACCAAATTATTGATTTCTAAAACATCTAGAGAACGAGAGTTTGATGAAACAAAATCGGAAGCCATTGGAGAAACCAAACGGTAAGAATCTTTTTTCTCATTTTGGAGAGCGGTGAGCAAAGGGTCTAAATAAATAACCCATAAAAGCGGAGAGATAACTTCACCTTGGTCAATCCCAATTCTAACTCTATATGATGGAGTAGGGCCATGTGCAGTAATAACACGATTGGAACGTGACATAAACAAGAAAAGTAGAAATTGAATAGCATTTTGTGGCAAACGTAAGCGCTGGAGAGCAAAACGCAACATGGATAGATCAACTGAATCAAACGCCTTTGAAATGTCTTGAGAGAGAATCCATAAAGGTTGTTTGGTAACTACCGAATCATGGATAATAGATTCCAGTGTAATAATAGGATAACGGAAGGAACCTCCAGGTAAACCAGCAAAGTTACCTCCTTGAAAAACATAGTGGGAAGCGAGCAAAGAAGCAAGACGATTGTAAAAAAGCTTAACCAAAGCCTTGCAAATCACTTCCAATAAAGTAATAGGACGAGTATTTTTAAGTTGGCATTTCCATTCATGCAGTTTGGGAATAGGAAAGACAGTAGCTTGTCTCCATAAATCAGGGATATTTGCGTCTGATAAACAGGCGCAAATTAGGTTAAAAAGAAGAGCAGAAGCAGAAGGTCCTAAATGTTTCAACATCTCATATGAGATCATAGAAGGTCCTGGGGCTTTATCATTAGGCATAGAGGAAATCGTCGAAGACCATTCATTCTTCAAGGGTAGGAGGATCCATAAGTGAATCAAAAATAGTTGGAGAGACATCAGCAAGCGGCGCATAAGCATTAGACCATCGTTCAGGCAAATCCTGTATGGAAGAAGGAGGAGTGGAGGTAATTGGAACAAAATTTTGAAAATGTTCAATGACTTCTTGATCAATGGCATCTGGAGAAGTTAATAAAGTAGGGCGTGTTGGATGATCAATAAAGACACGATCAAGAACGATTCGTCGTCTAATTCATGACAAGGCAGATTCAATAAAAGTAGAGATATCATTGGTGAAGTTATCATTCTGAGCATCAATTTTTGCCTGAATAGAGGAAGCTTGGAATTCTTTTTCTTTAAGCAAAAGTAGGCTTCGCAAAAGCAAAGTCATATTCTCTAACATTTGAAGTAAATTAGCATAATCGTCAATTCATTCATCACGAAGAGAAGGAGGAAGAACAATAGGAGTAACAAAAATTTGTTTATAACTAAAAAGAAGTTGATTAAGACGTATATAATATGAAGACCATTTGGACTCAAAGCTAACAGAATATAAAGTAGGGTTTTTGTGAAGGGAACGGATAGTCTTAGCCACTTTAGACAAAAATCGATAAGACTGGCATAAACTTTCTAGATATTTAGGCTTCTTCAGAGCATAAGTATTACCCACAGTAATTGAGGGCAGCTGGGACTTTGCAGCTTTAATAATCCTAGAATGAAGATATTCACACTTCTGATTAAGAGGCCAAGCATCAAAGACAAGTGGATCAATTGGACATAACTTATCCAAGTCAATAGCAAAAGCAGTCCACTGTTCTGTAGAAATAGAATCGTATTTAAAAACGCGTCAAGTATTACGACAAAGTTGATGAGCATGAGCAGATTTAATAGCATCTGACAGTAAAGAGGCGTCAAAATAGGTGATAATAAGGTTATGATCAGAAATGTGTAAATCATAGGCATTAAAAATGGTTGATGTTAACATATAACGACGAAGAAGCGGGCAAGACCAAACAAAGTCAATTCGGGTAATAGTGTCCAAGTGGTGATAAGTACCTAAGGTACTAGATAAATTAAGGGGGGTACAATCCTCATAATTATGAGAAAGCAAATAATGAAATAATTTATGAATTCTTTTAGCAGCAACCTGAAGTTGATGCAAAAATATGGGGTAAAATTTTTCCAAATTCATGTTAAAATCACCGCAAATAGCATAGTGAAAATTTTGTGAAGAAGTTTGAGAAATAAGAGAAATTAATTGATCAATGACTTCGTATCGAAGAACAAGATCATTTGTAGGGGGAATATAGACTACAAATATACGCAATTTAACATTGCCTTTAAAAAATAAGTCTACAGAAAGAATTC